TTTTCACGTAAAAAAAAGACAACATGGCATCTGAGAAGTAAGTTAAGGTGTTTCTTGAACTCAGATTTAGAAATACAGTTTGGATATTGGAACTGTCACGGGCTTAAACGAGCCTTGGTTTTGAGTAAATAGATAGCACCTGTGAAGATAGCAAAGGCAAGGGCTTGAGTTGCAGAATCCTCAGAAGGGTGTACCAATGGAAGGCACCACTTTCTGGTATGTTCAGGGGTTTTTATAAGAGTTATTAGTTTGGGAAATATTCAAGGGTTTTTGAGTTAGGATTGTGTTTTATAGAAAAAATAATAACCAGAGGGGCCTGGTTGGTTGGTAATCAGGACATAAAGAACTTATTCCTCTGTAGCATGGGAGGTATTTTGAGTAAATACATTCTGCTTATGGCTACGAATCAAGGTGATCAAGTTAGCTCCAATAGCTAGGTTTAGAAGGACTAGATAATTTCATGATCATTAATCTTATTTGGGATATATGTGGTAAAAGAAGGGAATCACATCTCATGCTTTGATGCATGAGATGATTTTTTTCCCCCTTTGGTTCTAAAGAAAAAACAAATTCCCCCAGGTATATATCATTACATTTTTATTTTTTTGATCTGGGTGCTATGCTCTTGGAATTGTGTTTATTATTATGGTTACTGTTAGCACTTTGCATTTCTGTGAAACATGAAAAGCAAAATACTGAATTTTAGAATGTGGTAATGGGTATGTAGTGGGACCACTTTCATTAGCATAATACACCCTACAAGTTTGTTGAAATAATTTATGAGGCTCTTTAACTACCAAGAGTAAGTGAGGAGGCACCTAATAGCCTACTTAGCAATTTTGCACATTTTTCACGTTTTATAATGCATAAATCAGCAGTTTGGGCCAATATATAGAGCTGTGACCCTTGCTGAGCAGTCTTAAACGCAGAGAAAAACTCTTAAGTACATAATTTAATTTGCCACATCTGAAGAATAATGCTATTTTATTTTAGCCTTTCATATAGATGTAATTTATAAGTTCATTTGAAATACTTTACTATAGTTCTTTTAACCTTTTTTTCTAACTAATTTTATATTAGTCTTATAGTAAAGTCTTGCACAAATACATGAATATAAAACAGGAGGAGGCTCTCTGATCACTTAGCCAGCGTATAATCTATGCTTGAAGCCAGTTGTGATAGGCAGGCTCTGTATCTCAATGTGTGCTGCTTTGTTGATGACAAGATACTACAATAGCCAGAGGTCAGGTTGATGTAAATCTTTCTTTCCCCAGTTTATTGAGATATAATTGACATGTAACTTTGTATGAGTTTAAGGTGTACAACCTGATTTGGTATATGTATATATTTTAAAATGATTGCCACAGTAAGTTTAGTTAACATCCATCACCTCACATAGTTACAGTATTTTCCCTTGTGATGAGAACTTTTGAAATCTGTCAGCAACTTTCAAATATACAATACAGTATTGTTAGCTATAGTCTCATGTTGTACATTACATCCCCAGAACTTATTTATCATTTGTCTGTAAGTTTGTACCTTTTGACCACCTGCACCCATTTTACCCACCCCTACCTATGTTCTTCACCAATCTGTTCTGTTTCTGTGAATTCATTTTTTAAAATTGCACATATGATCCAATACTTGCCTTTCTCTGACTTGTTTCACTTAGCGTAATGCCCTCAATGTTCATCCGCATTATCCCAAATGGCAGGATTTTCTTGCTTTTTTATGACTCAGTAATATTCTATCACGTATGTGTATACATCATGTTTTCTTTATCATTCTTCTGTTGATGGACACCTAGATTGTTTCCATGTCTTGGCTTTTGTAAATAATGCTGCAGTGTACCTGTTGGCCATTTGAACATCTTCTTTAGAAAAATGTCTTTTCAGGTCCTTTGCCCATTTTAAAATTGGGTTATTTGCTTTTTTGCTATTGATTTGTAAGAATTCCTTATATTTTTTGGATATTAACCCCATGTAAGATATGTAGTTTACAAATGTTTTCTCTCCTTCTGTAGGTTGTCTTTTCATTTTGTTGATCATTTCTTTTGATATGCAGAAATTTGTTAGTTTGATGTAGTCCCAAAGAGGCAATGAGAGCAGAGAGGTAATGGAGGGCTAACATCTTGCATGAATTCTCTGGATGAGATGGAAAGCTGTTGTAGGGCTTTGAGCTGGAAATTACATGACCTGATTTAGGTTTTAAAAGGATCACTCTGGCTACTGTATTGAGAATAAACTGTGTAGAAAAGGGGCAACAAGAACAGAAAGTGGGAAACCAGATAGGAGGTTATTAAAATAAACCAAGTAGAGATTATGATGACATGACTCAGACCAGACCTGTGAGAAGCAGTTAGGTTCTGAATACTTTGAAGGTAGTTATGAAGGATTTGCTGATGATTGTGGGCATGCAGAAGGGAGAGGACTCAAGAACGATTCCACAGTTTGGGCCTAACAAAATGGAAGGATAGAATTATATTCTGAGATGGGGAAACTGTGGGAGTCAAAACCTGCAGCAGCCTGGTACACAGTAGGTGCTTTGTGTTGGGAAAGGCAGTCTGGTGCATGTAGTCGTGCAACCCCATCTAGGCCTCGGCCACGTAAGAATGGGCCTTGGGCCTGGAACGCTTACTTAGCAAGAGAGAGTTCTCACAGCCTGTGCTCCCTTGTTCTGCTTAAGCAGCATATGACTTCTGGCCAGCCCCATTGCTGTATCTGTCTCCTGGGGAGAAGAAAAGGGGTCCTGTGCTGCAGCCATGAGGGATAAATGCAGGCCAGCTGCCCTTCATGGCTGCCAAGAGGGGCCTGCTGGCTGTGGGGGATCCGGCCCCCGCTACTGATGCTGATCTTGCCTTATTTCTTCTCCGTGTGAGTCAAGAGCTGTTCCCTCTAGTGCTTCACAGCGTTGTTTTCTATAGTAACTCCGGTACCGAGATGCAGTGGGCAGACGTGTTTGGACTTCTACTCCTGGTGACAGGCAACAGATGCCACTTGCCTGACACTTTGTAAATACTGAATGAATGAATGGGAAAGTTCAGATTTCAAGTTGGGGCTGTTAATTTTGAGATGACTGTTTAAGTGGAGATGTTGAGTGAGCAATTAGATGTAAAAGTGTGGAGATCAGGAGAGAAAAATTACAAAGTAATTTGGAAAGAACTGGCATCTCCATAATGAGTGTTTCTACCCAACAAGGGACATATGTAAGAATGTTCATAACAGCATTATTTGTAGTAGACTCACACTGGAAAACAATATTCTTGAACAGAAGGATGAAAAAATAAATGGTAGTATTATCATAGAATGTTATTTTTCAGTAATGAAAACAAATAGAAGAATGAAAAAATAGTGGTATAGTCATAGGATGGTATTCTACAGTAATGAAAATGAATGAACTCAGGTACATGCAACACCATTGATGAAGTCAGACATGAATTCTTTTCTGTATGATTCTATTCATACAGCTAAAACTATAGTATTTGAAGTCAGGATGGAGGTTATCTTACAGGGAGGAGAGAGCAGGTAGTAATTGGGAGATAGCACTGGGGTGCCTTCTAGAAGGCTTCTGTTTCTTCAGCTGAGTGGTGATTATATGTTTGCTTTATCATCAGTCATTGAACTGTACATTTAAGTGTTGTGTATTATTTGGAATATGTTATATTTCTAAAAATAAAAAATTGACCATTATGTTGCCTCCCAAAGAATTTAACAGACTCTAGATTTGATAGGTGTGCTTGACTCCTAGATATCCTTGTGGTTTTAAGTGGTTATGAAACATACAAGATAATTTATTCAAACTATGATGGGAAGAGTGGCATACAAATAACTGAAATCCTACTATTGGGAAAGAGGCTGGATGACAACCACTGAAGGAAACAGTGCAGGGCTTAGCATGCCCTCCTTGACATCCAAAATGTTATTTGATTTTTAAGTTTGGAATTTAACGTGAATTAGGGGAGACTCATTAGGAAATCTGGAGTTTAAATATAGCGTTAAAACTCCAAACCTCACATATGAAACTAAGATAGAACATTATTTCTCAATAGACTGCAGTAACCTTATAAAAATATACTTGAGTTAAGTATGTGTTAATTATTTTGAGCTTGAGCATTAAGATGAGTCTGTATTTCATCTTATTATTTATACATGGATGTTTACCTTTACAATGTTTATTAATGATATTAAAGACACATCTACAGTGTTGTCACTTATTAAGACCCAAATCCCACTCTTAAGAGTCATGTCTTCCTTGACACTTTGATTTAATTGCCTCAACTCCCCACCACAACTATAGACCAAATCTAACAAGGTAAAATATAATGGGGATAAATGCAAGGTTTTACATTTAGGTTCAGATGACGAAAGTAAAAGTATGATTTACCAACATGGGTGATGAAGGTTCAGGAGGTTTTATTGATACAAGATCGCTCTTCAATGGGACTGCTCCCTCTAAAGGTTAACGTGATCGTAGGCTTCATTACTGCAAATAACAGGAGGTTCTGGAGCATACCAAGAATATTATGGTCAGTTTTGGGCACCCTAGTTTTAAGAGTGACGTTACAAATTAAAGCTCATCCGAAGGAGAGCACCAGATTTTGAGGGGTTATGAATGGAGTAAATGGCTAAGTAACTGTGAGTCTGAAGTCTGACAGCAGTCATGTAAGGCATCATCCCCATTGTGCAGAAAGGAAATTGAGGCTCAAAGATAATGATTTATTAAAATATAAGTGAGAAGTGGTTGGCTCAGGCCCCAAATCTTTGATTTTCGTCTAGTATTCTTGTTTCAAAATACTGGTTTTAGTTATATTTTTTAAAAGCTTGGCTGTTAACCCCTATTTGAGGAGAAACTTGAAAGTATAAGGGAATGACTATAGGTTAAATGGAGAGAAAGGGAACATTTAGAGTGTGAAGATCTGTATGAGAGAAAGTTTAGTCATAAGTTTATTAGCATTACAGAAATGAATTGTCTTATACACATTTCTCTCGCTCTTTTTCAAGGTTTTTGACTCCAATGAAGAATCTGGACACCTTGTTCTCACCATAGTTATATCAGGTCATTTCTTCATTTCCCAAGGACAGACGCTACTGGTAGGTTTTATGCGTATAGTTTAGTATGTAGCTATATTTCTTCATCTTTGTAGTCTTACATTAATTTTTTATGTTGAAGGTTCTCACTAAAATTCATCAGATTCTACAAATTAAGAATTTTTTGAAAGTTCTGTTAACAGTGGGAAATACAAAAACATACTGAATATTTCCTGCCCTAAAGGGGTTTAGGGTTTTATTGGGAGTCGGGTTGGATCAAAGGATAGAGATTAACAAGTATTATAAAGGATTTCTCATTGGGGAGATTGGGTTGAAGATAGGCTAGATTTGTAGAGAAATGGGTGGAGGGTTTTCCAGATAAAGAGTATATGCAGGGAGGAATAGATTTGAGGAATAACTAAAAGAAAACTTGAAGCATGCTATTATCAATTGATACTGCCCTCTATAAAACTCTAATTTTATAAAAATGTATTTGTTTTTTATTCTGAATACACACAAATTGTAGGAAACTTTGAAATGAAGAAATATATAAAGAATCAATTGCTTGAAAGTTAATTTTTTTTAATTGAAGTGTAGTTGATTTACAATATTATATTAATTTCAGGTGTACAGCAAGATGATTCAGTTATATATTTTTTCAGATTATTTTCCCTTACAGGTTATTACAAGATATTGAATATAGTGCTATACAGTAAATCCTTATTACGTATCTATTTTATATATAGTGGTGTGTATCTGTTAATCCCATTCTCCTAATTTATCCTTCCCCTGCCTTTTCTCCTTTAGTAACCGGTTGTAAGTTTTTTTCTATGTGAGTCTGTTTCTGTTTTGTAAATAAATTTATGTGTTATTTTTAGATTCCACATATAAGTGATAAATACTAGTATTTGTCTTTCTCTGTCAGACTTCACTTAATATGATAATCTCTGTGTCCATCCATGTTGCTGCGAATGGCAATAATTCACTCTTTTTTATGGCTGAGCAATAGTCCATTGTATGTATATATGTGTATGTATATATGTTTGTGTATATCTATATATCTGTATCTATATATCTCACAACTTCTTTTTCCATTCCTCTGTTGACGGACACTTAGGTAGCTTGCATGTCTTGGCAATTATAAATAGTGCTGCTATGAGTGTTGGGGTGCATGTGTCTTTTCGAATTAGAATTTCTGTCTTTTCCAGGCATATGCCCAGAAGTGAAATTGCTGGATCATATGGTAGCTCTCTTTTTAGCTTTTTAAGGAACCTGCATACTGTTTTCTATAGTGACTGCACCAATTTACACTCCTACCAACAGAGCAGGAGGTTCCCTTTTCTCCACACCCTCTCCAGCATTTATTATTTGTATATTGAAAGCTTATGTTTGAATTGATACTTAGAAGCAAATGAATGAAGAAACAATATAATTATCTTCAGATCAAAGAAACCATACAAGAAAGGAAGTGTAAGGGAAGGCTATTGTGTCATTTAGCTGTGACTGATATCTACTAGACATAATAAATTTGTGCAAGTATTTACTGAATATGTAGGCATAATTTGTTCATTTAACAATTGTTTATTGAACAATTACTGTATTCTAGGCATGTTCTAGGTGCTAGGGGTATAGCAGTGAACAGGAAAGACAAAAATCGCTGTCATTGTGGAGTGTCATCATTCCAGTGGAGAGAAACAGCAATAAACAAATGATATACGTGAAATATATTTAAAAGACATGAATTTTTGGTGAATCCTTACACATTCTATTGTAATATGATGGCAGCATCCCACAGTTGTGTATTGTGATGATTCATCTTTCCACATAAGTGGAATATAAACTTATCTTTGAATGTGAGGTGACCTGCGAAGTTATTTTTGTGTTCCTTGTGACTTTTAAAACTGCCAGTTGTGCTTAATCTGCCACTGTTAGGGCTTGTATCAGTTGCCAGGAGATAAGATTTCTTCTTCAGCTTCAAATGTGGAGTATTCCAGATGGTAGACTAAGGGATGCCTAATGCACAGCTAATTCTCCCTGTCAATGTTATGGGTCTTTGCTGAATGGTGGCATTAATGCAGTTCAGCTTCCTTAAACATAGGGGCTGACCCTGTACCTTGTCTCTGCTTCATTCTTTTTCATCAGTGGTAGATGTTGTTACAAACTTGGTATCGTATGTGGAAAGATTTTTGCACTGCAGTTACAAAACCAAGTTTACCAAATTCCAAGACACCACTATTGAAAAATATTGTAGCTCCACAATTTGGTGCATGTTGTGTATACATATATAACTTGAGTAGTATTTTTTAAATCTTTAAACTCTTGAAAAATCATCTTGTTGAGGTATAATTTACATAAAATGAAATTCAATAATTTTAAGTTTTCAGTTTGATGTGTTTTGATAAATGTGTGCAGTCGTAAAACTACTACACATTCATGATATAGAACATTTCAACTAACCCAAAAACTTTCCTTTTGCTCCTTTGTCGTCAGTCCTATCTGTCCACCCTTGGCACCTAGCAAAACCACTGATCTGGTTTCTGTCATCATAATTTTGCCTTTTCTAGAATTTCATATAAATGAAATTATATAATAGTCCTTTTGTGTCTAGCTTCTTCCACTTAGCATAATTCAGATGTTGAGATTCATCCATATTGTTCATTTCTTTTCGTTACTGAATAGTATTTCATTGTGTAGATAAACCTAATTGGCTTATCCATTCAATTTTTGATATACATTGGGTTGTTTCTGTTTGGGGGCTATTATGAATGTCACTGGTATAAACAATTGTATGCAAGCCTTTGTGTGAATATACATTTTCATTTTTCTTTGGTAAATTCCCAAGAGAGGAACTGTTGCTGGGTTATATGGTACATCTGTGTTTAAGCTAAAAGAAACTGCAGAGCTGTTTCCCAAAGTTACAGTCCCACAAGCAATGTGTGAGGATTCCAATTATTCTGCGTCCTCACCAGCACTTAGTATTGTCACAGTCTTTTTAAGTTTAACTGTTCTTGTGGATATGTAGTGGTATCTCGTGGTGGTTTTAATTTGCATTCCCTTAATGACTAATGATATTGAACATCATTTCATGTGATTTTTTTTGCCATTTGTGTATCTTGTTGGTGAAGTGTCTGTTTATATTTTTTAACCATGTCTGAGTTGTCTTTTTATATTTGAATTGTAGGAGTTCTTATTCTGATTACAGCTCTTCTATCAGACATGCGTTCTGCGAGTATTTCACCCAGTCTGTGGCTTGCCTTTTTGTTTCTTAGCAGTGTCTTTTGATGAGCAAAAGCCTAAAATTTTGATGAAGTCCAATTTTTTTCTCTTTGTATCCTATTTAAGAAATTTTTGTTTGCTCTGAAGATGGCAATGATATTTTTCTGCATTTTCTTTCAGAAGTTTTATAGTTTTAGCTCTTAACATTTAGGCCTATGGTTCATTATGAATTTATAGTGGTATTGCATAACATTAATATTATTTTGTATAATCCCTTCTCCCCTTCAATTAAAGTGATGCATTATTGAAAAATCACTGTATTATAGAATATAATCATGGATCTTCGGGACTCTACTTCTGGAACCATTTAATTAATTTTTAATGTATGATGAAGGTTAAGGGTCTGGGTTAATTTTTTGGCACGTTCTTAACAATTGTTCCAGCACTGTTTAGTGAAAAGACTAGCTTTTCATTGATGAATTACCTTCGCTCCTTTGTTAAAAATCAATTTGCTATGTATGTGTGGGTCTGTTTCTAAACTCTTTTCTGTTCTGTTGACCTAAATGTCTATCCTTACTCCAATAACACACTGTCTTGCTTACTTTAGTTTTTTAATATATTTTTTTTATTGAAGTATTGTCAGTTTACAATGTTGTCTCAATTTCCGGTATATAGCACAATACTTCAGTCACATAGGAACATACATATATTCATTTTCATATTCTTTCACCAAAATTTTCTACAAGATATTGAATATAGTTCACTGTGCCATACAGTATAAACTTGTTGTTTATCTATATTTTATATATTAGTTAATATCTGAAAATCTCAAACTCCCGAATTATTCCTTCCCACCCTCTTCTCCCCCTGGTAACCATAGATTTGTTTTCTATGTCTGTGAGTCTGTTTCTGTTCTGTAAATAAGTTCGTTTGTCTTTTTTTTTTTTTTGATTCCACATGTTAGTGATTTCATATGGTATTTTTCTTTCTCTTTCTGGCTTATTTCACTTAGAATAACATTCTCTAGGTCCATCCATGTTGCTGCAGATGGCATTATTTTATTTTTTATGGCTGAGTAGTATTCCATTGTGTAAATATGCCACAGCTTCTTTATCCAGTCATCTGTCAGTGGACATTTAGGTTGTTTCCATGGCTTGGCTATTGTAAATAGTGCTGCTATGAACATTGGGGTGCATGTGTCTTTCTGAATTAAGGTTCCCTCTGGATATATCCCTAGGAGTTTGGCTGTAGTTTTTGAAATCATAAGTTAATTCCTCCATGTTCTTTTTCAAAGTTGTTCTGGCTGTTCTAGGTCATTTGCATTTCCACATAAATTTTAGTGTCAGCTTTCCTACAAAAAAAAATCTGCTGAGATTTCTGGGATTTTGATTGGGATTCTTTTGAATTTGTTAATCATTTTGGGAGAATTGACATCTTAATATTGTCTTCTGATCCATGAATGTGTTATGACTCCACTTATTTGTATCTTTTATCTATTATATTTATTTAAATACTTTCAGAAGTGTTTTGTAGTTTTCACAATAGGTCTTGTACATATTTAGCTAACTTTATTCACAAATATTTCATAGTTAAGTGATTGTAAATAGAATTTTATAAATCTCAATGTCTAATAGTTAGTTACTAGTATGTAGAAATACAATTGATTTTTCTTCATGTTGACCTTGTATCCTGGGATCATCTTGCTAAACTCATGTATTAGTTCTACAGCTTTTTTGTAGGTGTTTTGTAGGATTTTCTACATAGGCGATCTGCTGTCTGGATAGACAGTTTTATATTTCTCCTTTCCAAGCTGTATGCTCTGCCCACCTCTCTGCTCCTTTTTCCCC